ATATTTTGGATGAATAATACTATAGCAAGTTAAAATATTGCCTGTTAAATGTGACTGTATTCAAGTTTGATGATGATTGTTATAATATACGTAGTTAAGTTTTTCTTGACATGGATTTCTGCTTCATTCATTTTGGATATATTCGTAAACGCTGGACATAGACATTCGTGGATATACAGGGAACTGTGAACATTTATCTACACGTATGCCAACGTGCGCGAATAAGACGTTTATCCATATACAATGAGTGGCAGATGACAATCGCTATGCACTGTCTAGAAGGACGGATTTGACATTATATGCTAACTGAACTTTCGTGCTAAAATTCAAGGAGGATGTAACGGACCATACCAAATGGAACTATTCATTTGTGGGAAATGAACTTTAGATTTTATTGGTTAACTTTGCGTCAAATGTTATTGCATGTGGTTATAAGAAAATGTTAAATATTGTGTATTGAATATTAAATACGTGACTTATGAGAAGTATATCTTTATTCAGCCTGTCGGTCTTATAGTTATTAGTTATTGATATTTAACTATACAGTTATTGGTATAGGAACAGTGTACTTAACTTTTATAAAAATGATGACGTGAAACTGATGATATGCATTAAGGAAGATTCTTACTTAATTATTTTTCGGTATGTTTTTTTTGTTCAATCGTGGATTGGGATTGATATAAAATGATTGTTTCTCTTATAGCCATCAAAAGAGAGCGCTACAGTGTGGACAAATGTGATGATGAACAAGTACTTCATCATGAACGATGCGCTGGTCGCAACGTTGTGGTGACTGCTGTTCATTGGACAGGGAGTGATCGGCCCTATTGTCTCACGTAGTGCATCCCAAGAACATCTCATATGGCAAACGAAAGAGAGAAACTATATAATAAAATGTGTCAGAGCCACAATAAGAGAGTAACAGATTTAAACATCCGCGCGGAGAAAACAAATAAAAATATCTGTGCTCTTGAGCCGCGCATTGAAATGTGTAAATGCCGATACGAAATATATCCACGAACACTTGTATTTTCATAAAAATTTATCAATCTATCTTCCTTTAAGTTATATTTGGGGTTTCATGTCAATTTTATTTCTATCTTATAGTAGGTTTATAATACAAAATCTATGTACTTAGTTTTGTTTTGCATGAATTTATGATAAAAGACAAATGCAGTGTTTAAGAAAGTTTATTTTTAATTAATGTATATTTTAATTTTAAATATGCCTGGGGACAGGCATATCGTCCCCGGGAGATAATGTAACGTTAGTTAGTGACAGCGTGCAGCGAATAAGAGCGGGGAGTGTTTTGTAGTGTCACTTTAGTTGATTGACACGACCTTATTGTACTTAAGCGAAGAATGTAATGTAGACGGGGAGAACGATGTAAGAAGTTGAACGTAGAGGAATAAACTGTAGATAGCGTAGTTAGAAAGCGATAATAAAGAATATGGGAAAACATGGAATTGTTTAGTTATTACCTCGCGCCACCAAGACAAAGTCAGTAACGTCGTCACAATAGGCTAAACGTGCTTAGGTGCTAAACGCGTGGGAAAAATGAGACAAAACAGGCGCTTAGAAATGTGTCTCAGAGCTAAACACTGTTTTTACAGTGTACTAGAACAATCATTGCAGCAAAATCAACTTAGGGGCGTCGAGTGGGAGTCTGATCCTAGTATAGATCAAAATGCTGGGCTTTCAAGCAATTTTTCGTCCATTAAGTGGTCTCGGGTGTAGATCAGTGGAAAAGTGGACATGGGCGCGCAGATTTCTGTAATGTCAGGGAGAGTGTACGTATTGCGCGCATTTAAGGTTAGCCATCAGTTTTAAGTTACCTTGACCTACTATCTCTTGCTGCAGGGAATTGGAAATAAGAAATACAGGATTGCGACAAAATTTAGTGGTGAGATTAACTCTGATCTTGTACATGTAGCACCAATGACGTCTGAAAATTGAATGCATATGTTCAGTGCAATTTGGGTTTTCTGGAAATTGACGGAAAAAATGACATAAAAAGACAACGGAGTCACAGATAAAACAGCACCAGTAAGTGTGGCGAAAAGAAAAGGACAGTGGTATCCCCAAAATCGGAACATGATTCCATGCGAAATCAATAAACAGACTGAAAGGTAGTCATGGAAAGAAATAAATAGTAACATGGGGTCACTGATTCAGAGAATGGTGCTGTCCGAAAATTCCGATCAATAAAGAAAACTTCATGCTAAAAAGTCATGTGGTAGCTACAGTTGCAAATGACATTTTGGAAACCTCTTAATTGGATTGGTGTTAGCTTAGGGGGGGTGGATTGTAAAGTAAAGTTTAAAAAAACATGTGCCTGCATTATCAATTACAAAGCTGATGAGACAACATGTACCGATCTACCGGTGAAATCAGCTGTCCCTAGAACCGGTATCGAATCTTAAAAAACGCTTGTGGGATTAAACTTACTAGTGGAGGTTTTCATTCACCCTCCTATAACTGGTAACATCCCTAGAACAAGAGTATACCCGAACCAGACTTTACTTGTGGGATTAAATTCTGCAGGGGTTTCAAGTGTTAATTCCCCTAATTTCGAGAATATCCCTAGAACAAGTAACCGATTAAAAAAAAGGACTAAATGTCACAGACTCTGAAGGTGGATGGAAGCACTAAGGGCCCTTCAAGTGCCCATTCACCGGAAGAAGTTAGTAAAACTAAAAATCAACACAAAACTACCGGTAGAATAACATCTTTCAAGACTCCAAACATCGGGAGTCCAAATTTGAATGAAACCGCTGGTGACGTTCACATTGGGCTAGACTCTTCGGTTTACTTGAGACACCTGCTATGAACACGACAGGTGAGCAATGCTACCCAAGTCCCCTTTTCTAGCTTATCAAATCTTTCAAATTGAGACCTCTAAAAGCAATATGAATATAATGGTTTTCTTTGTTTAGGTAATGATTTTATTATACAAGAATTCTGACTGCATAATAATGAACTTGTACGTGTATAGGTCAAAGTGTCCCAGTAGGAAAAATTGCTTTAAAAATAGTACACCACCATCGTTGATAAAGTCGCCACTGACGCTAGGAAATCCCTTTGGTGGCCATTTCCCTGAACTAAATACGTAAGTGAATATCAACAAACAGTTGTCACGCGTATTTGTTCACAGATACACTGTACCAGTATACTCGATACAGACGATAAAATATGCCTCTTACAACATGCATCCGGTGTAAACTACCCTGAGTGTCAGAGCAACGTAAAAGCTAGCTTGTTAAATATACCTTGTGATGGAGTCACTTTTACTAGTATTACTGTTATTTACGGTATTGCGAGATGGGTTATATATGAAATCAAGATCGAGCTGGCAATACCGGAATCTAGAACCTAGGGTAGTGTAAACTGAAATTGCAGTTTTGCGAGAATTAATTACAGATTTGGAAGTAACTCGCTTGCGCTGCCAGTAATTACGTCGTGGGGTATTCAGGGCACAGACTGTGATCACAATATACCGCCAATAGATTTTTAGAGTTTTAGAAAATAGATTTTTCATGTGAAGAAGGAGCAGAGCGTGTTCGTTGAACTGACTAATTTGGGTGTCCGATAAGGATTACTTGCCGATTCTCCTACCCTGTACTTATCATGTGGCCTTTATTGTTCAACCATGCGGGACTGTACCGCAGAGAAAATAACGCTATATAAATTCATTTTTTAGTTTTAAATATTTTATTTGTAAATGAAACAAAAAAGACGATAAATAAAATAATAAAGTATTGAGTGACAGTTAAAGAACAAAATGCCAGGGGGGGCAGTAAGCGGACACGAGGGGGCGAGCCCCCGAGGGGGGAGGGGGTGTCCCCCTACCAGTGTGGAAAATTCTAAATCCCAAGGGGGGCAGCTGCCCCCCCTGCCCCCCCGGAGGCTACGGCCCTGTCTATCTAACTATACTGGAAAACCAAAAACAACAAAAATTGTGCACACATATTTTATTCATGTAAAATATCACAAGAAATTACGCGAGCGTGCGATTTTCCAACACATATAATACCCGTGACCAATATATGTACAGTGTGACCTGAAATACATGAGCCATGGGCGCATCCATAAGTCTGCCCTTCCGCATCGCTGCAACGCAATGAAAATGCTTTTCGTGACAAAACAATGAAAAAATATTAGACTGGCGATTAGGCATGCATCACTATTTCCTTTAAAATTAGCCAGTTCCTAAATAGATACATTCTGCTGTTATATTATTTTTCAAGATTCTGCTGGTTCAGATTTATCCTGCAATGCACAGTAGGTGTGAGATTTACGACCAATCCTTGAACAGTAGGCCCCTAGACTATAGATAAAGTCTCGACTATAAAAATATACTTTTTACCCTTTGTAACATCCCTTTCAAAACTAAAAAATAACACCAAGAAAAAAGAATAATCGAAACGGAAAATACTCAATACAAATTGGGTATGCTGTTGGGATGTAAGCTGCATAATTCATATTCCTTTTTATAATATATCCGTATATGTACACATCAATGTTTGACTGTAGCCTATAATCCTATATATATATATACGCCTATTATTGAGTTTTCCTTTTTATATACCCTTTTACATCTGGAATATATGTATGTTTTATGGTTTCCACATTTGACTGCATGTCAGTTCCAATTTTGTTTTATTCTTTGTGTGTTCGGTATAGTCCTATGAAATCAATGGCCTACACACCAGGACTACGTAAAAGGTCAATGGTTTGCTCATTATATACAACAAACAATTTATCAGCGACTTCTTGGCAAAGGGAGGAAAATGTCCAGTAACAGATCTGCTGAAAAAAACATTTTTAATACCCAGCACCAAAGTATTTTCATTTTGGGGAATCAATATAAAAAATATAGGCCTATTTATTGATAGGCTAGGATTTAAGCCAAATCATGAAATGCAAAAAATGCAAATAACTCTGTTGTTGAACAAATGTTTCCACTCACCTACAAGTCACCAAGTTCGTTTGAGTTGAATTGCATTTACAATAAGTGTACGCGATCATGCATGTATATGTACGTTTATGTATGTTTTCAAGTGTATCATCAATTTCATAGGACTTTTTCAAAACGGCATCAGTCCACTTATTGTGTAAATATAGATGTCAGCACCAGCAGGAAACCCAAAACGAGCGCCTTTGCGCTGGCTTTCACTGCAGAACAGTGTGCGTCGCCATCTGAGCCAACGCAATGGCAACACGTGAATCGTGTGCTCGGATCCCATGTCTTCTTTACTCCCTCAAGTCTGAAAAAAAATATTTCAAAAGTAAAAAAGAAGAAAAATGGAGACAGCAATACAAAAACTGATAACATTATCGATATCACTATCCGTTAAGGGAATGAAAGGGACTTCTAGCATACATGTAGTTGTTTAAATGGTGCAAGATATCACTGAACACGTGGAGTGGAAATACATGTTCACTGAGCAGACCCAGATAAGTATTTTTTTTTTTGTTTTTCGATCTTATCTTCTCTTTAATTACATTTTAACGTTTTTTAAAATTTTTATACCATAAATGGAGTCAAATAAATACATAAATAATGTTACCTTGAATATTTGGTCCCCCAATACTGAGTTCTCCAGTTACTGAGCCGAGAGGATGGTTCGTTGTAGTAAACCCCTGTAGAATAATTATGAACTGTTGCAGGTTTGTCATGAAATGTTCGTCTTAAAAAACTGTTATTTGTACGATTACAAACAATTTTTAATGTAACAGCTTAAAATAGGCCTATATCGAATACTAAACAAGAGCTTGCATAATTTAATATGTCAATTTGTAATGACGTTGTTTTTCCTCAATGATATGCAATATTTTTTAATCGGGCGATTGGCGGATACACAATTTTGCTGGTGGTGGAGGAAGAGGGCAAATAGTAGATGAAGGCAATTAAATTGTTAAGTTCGCCAATGATATGTGTTTTGGGGGTGGAAAAGGGGGAGTAAGAGGAGGGGTGAGCGGATACATGCCCTGCCCCCCCCCCCCCCCAAATTCCCCTGGACCTGCCGCCGAATACATACCGTTTCCTTTCGCAATCATTTCGTTTTGGAACGGCAGCATAAAATCTATGAAAGTTCCGTCCATGTAGGCCAAGGAATCGGGCCACGGGAGTCCGCAAGACATAGACATAAAACTGTTCCTCAGCGCATCGCCGACCGACGAGGAGTCGGATGAATACTCCGTGGCTTTCCCTGAAAACGAAGTACACAAGGGACAGTGAAAATAACTTAGACACTTGCTAAAAGAAGTCTTTTTTGTATAGAATATGCCCATTTTCCCTACAAAAGGATCCAGCGTGTATTTGTAGATCTTAAAGAAAAAATAATACAGGGGCTCCAGTGCAAATTAAAATTTGGACATATCACAGAACTACATGTACGTGGGATGAATGAAAAGTTTTGAGCCCGACCAAAAAAGTGTAGGGAGTGATTTTCCATCATTTATATTCAGATATAGGTCCACTTCTCTTGGTCATGCCTGAAATTGACTCTCTGCGTGCATGGCTGCAGGAACAATAAATGAGTGAAGTGAGCAGGGGTGTGTCCGATTGCCACGCTCACTAGTTTATGTCCATTTTGCAAATCTGACACACCCCTACTCTCTTCTATCCTCTACCAGGGCCGCAGATTAATTATGTGCATTATTCTGTAGTTGGGCAAAGAATTGTGTCATTTATTAGCCAGATACATATCTGTGAATATTTAGTAAAAAAATCAATCCGTGACTATGGTAGAGAGTAACTCTCCTCCCTGACATAGTGTGTAAAACAAACAACACGATATATGTAAATATAATCATAGGAAAAACACATAGAACTACTTTACCTCCTATCAGAACACCGGTACACCCAATGAAATACTTGCTATCATATGCCTTCTGGTAGTAGGTCTCTATGATGTCAGTCAGACCGTTGTCAAAGCTGCTGCTCGGCAGAAGGCTGTTGAAGATGTAAACTCTCGAAAAAGAGCCTTTATCGTGGATGTCCTTTCGATAGTCCCACCACCGGGTGTAGTTTTTGATAGAGCAGTCGCCATATCGCCAGTCAGAGCGGTAACTTTTAATGGTCTCCATGTAAGGGTTGGCGAAGGACAGGTTCCCGAATATTTCAAAGGCCAGTGTCACCAGTCCCTCAGTCGGTATGTACACATAAGGAGGGTTGTACTGAAGCGGTGTGTGAATCTAAATACAAAGGACATTTCACCTTTAAATTGAATAAAAAACAATTCTGATGGAAATTTCAGCATTTGAAAACAACAGTTAAATATTTATTTGATCAGCACTCTCGGTAACATCAATTTTCTTTAACAAGAATATGTTTTTTTTTATAGTCTTAAAATTATTCAAAAAAGTTCAGAAACACAACAACGTTAACAGATTTCAGGACAAAATACGCAATACTCAAAGAGGAAAACCCTCGCTTCATTCGGGTATCTTCTTATTTGTCACGTTTCATACAATGTTCGAAATCTATCAAAAATCTCTCTAATACATGAGCTTTGCAGTCTAGTAGGTTTTCGAAACAAGGCATGGTGACTTTTTCACAAAACTTTAAAATTAATACTGAGGTATGACCTACCAACTGTTGCTTGTAAATGCCTGCCTCAATTTTTCAACCTTTTTATGTAATTTGATTTTATTCAAACACATCCTGTGTGCCAGTGAAAAAGGCTTTGTCCTACCTGTTCATACCTCATTCCAGAAATAAACATCTAAATGCATAAATTCCAAATCTGAATTAAAATTTGCCCTATCAAAAAAAAAAAAAAAAAAAAAAGAAAGAAAAACGGAATTAATACTCACCAAATAATAGCCACCAAATTCGTTAGNACGATAACAAGTTTACCATCATTTTTACAAAATCAACTAACAATGTTGTAAAGATGCAGGAAATGTCAAACAAACACTTTTACGTATCTTATTAGTTTAATAATGAGACTGTTAACATGCCTAAGAATTGAATCTGAGGAAATGTGAAAAATATGCTGAAAAGTGAAAAAACAGCATAACTTCTACAATAATGGCCCGATCATGCTGATTTTCGAACTTGACCTGCGTTTTATGAATATTCATCAGCTCTGTAAATATAAAGCCAAAAAGTAAAACTGCCCTCCACTTATCGTGTTTACAAGGAAAGTGCACGGCGCCGGCATCGCCATCGCCATCGCCATCGGCGACGACAGACGCAGGTGATGGCAATATGTACAGACACATCTGTGTCTGTACATAAAAATGTAAACAAAATCAGCTGTATTATTGAACAAAATTCATAACTGTACTAAAGGGATTTCTATTACCGTAGGTGATTGACTTAATTAAACTAATTTTGAAATAACAAGCCACTCACAATTTTTTACCTTAAAAGAAGGGTACTTGAAGAGAAATTAAGCTGTTCCCTTCATCTGACAGGGGATCATTTGCCTCAACAATTTTTTTAGAATAACTTGGGGACTCCCCAGTATGCTTACTTTAATATTTGGTTAAGTGTTATTATGAACACCCCATGATAAAACGCTTGAATACAATACAAAGCACCACCATGTTAAAGAATCATGTTTATTTTCAAACATATCTTGTGTCAGTAGTGAACAGTTTTCTGTCATTTACAATCAACATGTTAGTATTGGAGGATTATCCCAATGGTAGTATTATCATCCGAACCCTGTAGTTTCACATGAACCCAGTGGTGTTTGTAAAATGTTAAATGTGCCAACAAAATTCAGTGTCTGTTTTTAATTTTTTACCTGGCTGCAGTCACAGATATGACATTACACATACATGTATATAACTACTGTTAAGTTCAGCTGGCAATCTTGGGTACCATATAGGTACCAGTATAAATAAAATGGCAAGATGTATATAAAGGTACCAACAATTCAAAAAAATAAAATGATGATCGAAATTTAATTGCATCTGATTCTAAACTAAGATGAGTGACACTATGATCTGTTGATCAATGACAATGAAACCATGTTCTTTAGGCAAGTCTTATGGCAAATTTAGGAGCACAAAAACCTGTTTCATAGTATACAAATATTTAAAATTGTTACTTTGTATTGTAACATTATCAAGTGTCTTGAAAAAACATTACTATTAATATTATGACCACATTAAATACAACTGTAAACTACTGGGTAGAAAGTGCACATAATATTAAGTCATGTCTGATAAACCCTGTATAGTTTAAACATCTATAATGATATTCTTTGAGAGAGATCAGCTGTATGTATTGCTTTGTATGGTGTAGGTAAATAACTAGTACTAAAACATTCATGGCAAGATGCAAAATGGAGTATGATACAATAAAATTACACTTGTGATGGAATGCATAAGTTTGTGGAATGTATAGGCAAGCTTTAGCCCAGGTGCAGGAAAATACTTCCAAATATCACAGGATATTGTAAACATAATAATCTAAAAGTTCTCACAAGTCACTTCACAAATGGCTAAAGCAGTACAACAATAATGAATGAGCTTTATGTCACACTCATAAATGAGAAAATAGTGCACATGTATTCTCACAAAAACCAAGTCCAAGTAAACTGAAAATTAACTTAAAACAGCAGCTGGTTTAATTGTACCTTGGAGATTCATGCAAATTCATATGTCAAAGCTGCATTCAAATATCCACTGTCCCTCTTCATTCTCTCCTCTCCTCAGTTTCACACCACAGTCAATGTAAAATTCCTACATCATCACACATGGACATTGGGCAGTGCATTCTGCTGCCTACTATCTGCTCTGTGACCTGAAGCTTTTCGAGACACATAACCATTGTTTATATTGTTGTCGTTGTATCGTGATGATGGTCTCGACATGTGTCCTGAGGACGGCGTCTTGCGATCTGAGGCTGGGTAACTGGGTGGTCCGCCAGCAGAAGGAGGATTGGAATAGCGACCCTGTAGTTGAGGGGAGGATGGCGGTGTGTAATCAGGAGGTGGGATATAGGGCCTGGAGCCTTCATAATCTGGAGGGGGTTCAATCCTTTGGTGCTGAAAAGAAAAACGTGACATGCTGGCCAAATTTGAACATGCACATGCAACATATACAGTACATGCAAGTCTCAATCACGAGCAGAGGAAACAAAAACATGCATTTTCTACAGAGTTTTTGAATTGAGATCTTTGTGAGGAATTTGTTGATATATGTGCACATATTCAGAAATCAATACTTAAGAATAAAAATAATACTTCAAAGACAAATGGAATTGTGAGTTTTTATGTATTGTGACAGTTGTCCACTTTGATTCTAGAATACAATTTAATAGGATAATGATGAATCTTTGAAATTCAATTTAAGCTGCAAACTCTCTGAGTCAGTATTTCAACATAAAACTTTTAAATAATAATAACCACATAAAAGCACTAGGAATTTGACTAATAATTAAGAGAACAACAGAGACAATCTATAACCATACTTTACAAGTTTTCAGACAACCTAAAAACATTTTAATTAATATATATCCAGTCCACAATACTTCCTCATCAAAACTGATATTTCCTGTCACAGCAAATTCAGAATGATGCTGTAGCCTTCATCCAATTTTATTTTTTGTGGGAGCGTACCTTATCATACATGACATGATTTTCATATCCTTGAACAGTTGCAATTCCCCCATTTTCCATCCTCAGTTTGTCCTCAGCTTCCTCTTCCTCAGCCTCCTTTATTGCAGAGAGGTAGGGTGCTGGCCCCAGCCAGCTGAGTATCACAGGGAGGTAGATCAACCCATGAAACAGCCCATATACTACCACGCCAAAAAACACCTGAAAGTTTTCATCAAATAATAAATTACTTAACTTATGTTATGCTTTTCAGAGTGTGTTTACCTTTGATGGATTATCTAAATTAAGTTGGCAAATCATCTCTCAGTTATTAATTTTTGAATGGAAAAGAAGCAATGAATTTTAATCACATTTTTAGGCTGAAATCATGAAAAACACTGGAGACAGCTATTAGATTACAGATTTTACAATAATATTTTTCTATGAATACAAATTACAGCATAACCGTACCTTAAAGAACACTTGGAATACATAAGACCCAGAGAAAGCTAGCAATACAAAGGCAAGGAATGTACTGAAGCCTCCATTGAAGACAGCTGGCCCCATATCACCAATTGTGGTCTTGGCACGCTCTGAAATATGAGGGAAAAACAATGTTAATGTCCTGGAAAATATATAAACTCATTTTTGTAACAGCATTATATTTAGTCAGAAATATCTATCATCATCATCATTATCATAATAATTATAATAATATAATATAATTATAATAATAATTATAATAATAATTTAATATTGTAGTATTTATATAGGTATAACATGAAAATTAATGTTATCATAAAGAAAATGAAGATATCATTTCATTTCTTTTTCAATAATAATATCATCTGTGTTATCTACCATTTCTTGTTCCCAGTTCTGTCATAAACATGTGTCCAATATGTGCTGCATAGTCCACTGCCAGACCAATGGCCAGTATGGTGTTCACTGTGGTCACACTGTCTATGGTCAGACCCCAGAAGTACATCAGACCTCCAACATCAACCTTGAAGAAATATCTTAACCTTATTAGATGTATCATAAAATACAATGATACTGGCATGATCAGCCTTATTAATGAAATAATCATACCTGTATATTTATATCTATATTTTAAATGTTATATTCTAACACCTTCATATTATTTGCATTAAAAATCTCTCAAGCCCAAAAGCCATAAGGAGCTACCTAAAAAAGCACATATTGCTCACAAAATATGAATTGCAGTTTGTTACCATTTCAACTTTACTCCACATTGTTAACACAGTATTCAATGTACTTACTTAATGTTTTAACCTAATTTCTTTCTTTTTCCACACTCAAACTAATTCATAATTCTTTTGTTAACTTGTATTAATTACAAATTAAAACTCACCAGTGTCATGACCACACAGGTCAGCACCAGGATGCATGTCCAGATGTTGGCTATTAGGATCAGAGTGACCAAAAACACACAAGCAAAAGCAAGACCAATGTTCCTATACAGCTCTATCTGGATAACCTGAGGGTAGGTGAAAAAAAGAGCTTTTTTCAGTATTAAAATACTGTTATCTACACTCAAAGAACAAAAGGTAACATTTTCTTCAAGATTGCCCAGCTTGCAGTGATCTATCTGATGCTGTAAATAGTACTCCTCTATTGTCTTCCAAGGCTTCAAGAATACCATCACTTGCGTCTTTTAATATCTGCATAACTATGATCAAGACTATGCACTGTGCATATTACAACAGTCTGTGTGAACCAATGCAACTGGTATACCAAAATTATATACAACATGCTTACGGAAATTTTTTCACTGAATGATTTATTCAACAGATAAGATGTTAACAAAATATCAGACAACTCAAAGATTTTTATTTATAACAATAACATACTTCAGAAGTTTCTCATACCTTGTTACTTTCCCAGTTGAGATAACTTCGACTGTAGGCAAAGCATTTATCAGAGGGCAGTCCAAGCCCGTCTGCTATACTCCGCAAGTTGTCCATGGCCTTCACTTCTGTCTGGGCATCAGGAAAGTCTTTGTGTTTCATGAAAATTTGGGACGCCTACAAAAATATTTTTAATGTGTTATCTATTATAGATCAAATTTCAGTTTAGTCTTTGGACCCGTTGGTCTTATCAAATCTGAATCTGGTATTTGGCAAATGCTTTTTGTGATTTCCTTGGTTGGGCATAAAACTACAAGATCTGAGGAATCCTGAAAGTTAACAGTCAGTTGTTAAACTGTTTATTTCATAGTTTTTTTTTTAACAAAAGATATTCACTTAAAATTTATTTAAGCAATACTACAGAGTTCTTAGTTTGTGACATTTTCACCTGGAACCCATACTGCAACAAGAGACCTATGAATCACACAAAAATCCATAACTTACCTTCAACTTGTAGGGCTCAGTATCTGTCATGTTCACATAGCTTATATACCTTCGTCCAGATGGCACCCACAAAATAAAGGCTCTCAGCAGTCTGTAGAAGTTTGTCTCATTACTAGGCCATTTGTCTGAATAATATAAAAAATCCTCACTAAGTTAAAAGCATCTAAGAAAAAGGAAAATTTTACACAGCATTTGTCAATAAAATACAAAATATATGATATTATATAACAGCCAGAGAGCCCCTTTCCTCCATAAAAATACCACATAGTACAACATCCCCCAAAACAATAAATATCACAAAAAGTTCTAATCCTGTAGCTTTGAAACAACCAAAACTTTACATGAAACATATTTTAAAGATATATTTAAATCACTAACAGTATTATCTGGACCGTCAAGTGACTGAACTTAACACACTTTATCACTTACTTGCATTAAGATAAACGAGGGTTCTATTGTCAGTGCTTTCATTGACAAAAACCTTGAAGTCTTCAAAGAAACTGTTGACCGTGCCCTCATAAGTGTATTCACTATTGGACATCTTGGTATAGGCCTCCTCCAGGTAGGAGAAATTGCGATAGTAGTCAATCTCACCTGAAATATGTGCGCTCAATTATTCATTCTCAAGATTGGAATTGTCTAGAACAAAATTACACTTTGAGTAATTTTGAAGTACATTCTCTGTAAAGCTTGGGCCTTTCCCTCTATATTATTCTCCATTAATTAATAAAATCTGTTTTGTATAGTGCCACACAAGAAGTGTGTCATCTCAGATGAGCAAACACATTAGCCTAAGGAGAAAACCAATGAATCAATTACGCCAATTTTTCCAACAGACACCGGTGCCTTACAACATAGATACCACACAGCCACTAGGAGAACTGAGACTCACCGAAGTAAATGGATGCCGATGCCCCATCAGATGGGAAGAACTTCTCCATATTCTTGGTATATTTTGAGGCATAGGAGTCACTGGGGATGAACCAGTTGAAGTCGAAGTCCTGCTTCAGGTTGATGAGACCATAAACGTTCACACCCAATAGTCCCAGTGTGGCCACTAAAACTATGATCTGGAGGAAAGGAAAGAATAACTTCAATATAACTGAAATACCTGACATGTAAGCATTTTTCAACATTATTTGTGTAAATTCAATGATTTATACTTAAGCATTATTGAATCTACCTAAATACAAAGGTCTGAAGTAAACAAACATTTTCCAATTTGAGGAATCTATCAATTTGACACACATTATTTAAATTAACCAAAAGAGCTTTAGACGTTTTAAATACTTATTAACACAAAAAAAATCCCTACCTTCACTGGCAATTTAAGCAAAAATGATGCGTAGTACTTTTTGAAGAAGGCAGCCATCAGTCCTTTCTGGCTGCATTGATTGGGCTTATAGTTGCGGTGTGGGTAGCAACAGCAACATGCATTACGCACAGCTTCCACACGCCGTTCATTGATGGTGTGGCAAGCTACAAAGAATGTGGCTTGAAAGATGTACAGCCCCAGTATCCCCAGGGCAGCAAAGATGCAGAATGAGCGCAAGGCTGGCAAGATCTAAAAATGATGCAAAAATATTAATTACCTGTTTTTGAAGAAATTTTATTTAATTCAATCTGGATCCGAGTCCTGTAAATAAGTTACCATGAAACATTCTATAATACAAGCAGGAATCTACATTATGTACAAATTTATGGAAGAATCTTCTGTATATTTTCATTGCTTTATCTTTCTTTCATTTATTCCTTTTTATTGACAAATGTTGAATCATATTCACAATATGAATACTGAAATAAAATAAGGTGAGCAGGGAATTTGTGTTAACAAACAAATTACTGGAATGTAAATCAGTACATGCCACATAACCTAGACAGATTAAATCAACAGAAGACTCACTGTGGTTGCACCAATGGCAAAGGCCACAAAATCTGTGATGGAGGTTACAGTGATGGCCACCCCAGCATGTTTTAACATCAGCCCCACTCTGTCAGGCAGGGGCTTCTCCTTCTCATGGGGATGGAGATTGTTCCATGACTGAATGATCACGAAGGCATCGTCAACTCCAATACCTGTAAATTAACACAAGTGCATGATGTTTTAAAAAGAATTTAAAAATGTGTACTTACTACTTCACTTGTAAATCTGTTGTCATATAACCAAAACTCAAATGTATACTTCCCACAGAAAGGCACTTGTATCATAATACAATAGTATATTTTAAAACACAGAGTAACAGTCTCAAAGGCTTACCAAGTAGCAAAAAAGGTAAAACACTGTGCACTGGTCCATATGCTACTCCAAAAGCAGAAGACAGCCCAAATGACATGATGATTGACATTCCTACTGCTAAGACACATCCAAGTGCGAGCCATATCTGGATAAAAGAGAAACTGCATTAGTACCTCTGAAATAACTAAACAGCTTAGGTAACAATATGGAATATACATTATATTAGCAATTTACATTATAAAATACAATAAATGCCAATATACCGGTACATACAATTCTAAATTATCTGTACCATTAAATTAACATCTTTGATAACCAATGCTTTTATTAATAAAGAAAACATTAAATAATCACATCTGTACCATTTATTCTACTTCCACAGTAAAATCTTTGCAATTAGGAACACTCATTTCAAAGTTTGCTGGTAAATCAACATCATTATACTCAATTAAAAATACATGTACAGTACTTATCCCTTTGTATATTTATACAATTCTGCTGAATGATTATGACAATCTATTTTGCCAGAAAAAAAATTTATTCAAACTGAAAAAAAAATTTTTCAAACTGAAAACATGGTCCTTACTCTGTGTTCCACACAGTTGAATGTTCCTAAGACTATAGCTACAAATATGATGATGAGAAAATATCCAACTGACAGTAACGTCAGGTCTCCAAAGATGGCGCCACCTCCCTCATCTGAACGACTGCAAGTATAAAAACAAGAATGGCATACAGGAATGATGACATGGATCATCCAAGGGTTTTCAAATACACAACCACACAGTCATATTATTTGTGCATTCTTGCAATATCCTTAATTCTTTTCCACATTTCAGAAGTGACTAACTTAAAACCAGGCATCTTTAAAATAGGACAATCAAGACTTAAATGTTCTCTAGCTCTCTTAGATCCTTTACTCTTAAAAAAAACTCACGTTCTAAAAGCATAGTAGTTGACTTCCTTGATGCCTGCATGTCCTTTTGCACCAATATCTATAAACTGCTGTTCCCAGGCAAGTGCATCTACACTTTCCTGTCATAAAAAATTATGCATAAGAAAACATTTGTGTCTAATGGAGATCTTTTCAAAGATGCACAGTGTTACTTTGCCAAAATAAGCAAGGAACAGTCAGGCAACACTTTCATAGTTGCCAACTCTTCACACAAATGCCTCTCGTTTTTAAATATCAATACCCATTGTTATTAGTGTTTCTATCATTAATATGACATATTAAACATTTATATTCACATTTAGATAATATTGATTACATTGTACTTGCTAGAACAAAAATGCACTTATTGTCTATTTACATAGAACCTTTTCATGTACGTCATGCATTATATCTTAGTGATACAGCTGTACTGGTATGAGTTGAGAGGTTCTACCACAAAATTTGCGCTACAGAGGACTTAATTCTCCATTTGAGTACTTCTCAACAGGTTTGCTTCCTGCTGTTTTAAGGGATAACAACTCTTTATACGAGATTCAAAACACCACTTTAAAGACATTGTAAACAAATAGAAATATAATAAATTCCATTTTACCACCAAAACGGCAGTTATCACAATTATTCTAAAATCTGTGCTTGCCATTAAAGCACATGGACCTTCATAGAGGCTACCCTCTGTAATAATATCTAAAGAGATTATTTAAAAAAAAAACAATCCGCTAATTATGAATGTCAGAATGGATTCATTGACCATTGGAAAAGTATGGGAAAATTGTCATCTACCCCAGGAATATCCATTTTATGAAAGATTTCCCACCAAAATGAAGGGTTGTTATCCCTTTATGCAGGAGTTAATAAATTGGCTGTGTCGAGCACAGGGGGTCCATTACATATACATTAAATGTTTTGTTTGTTTTTTTTTTTGTTTACGTGTGTGTGTGAATATATATATATATATTTATTATCACTGCATGTATCATATACTTACAGCAGATTCATCATTGATAAAATATGTCATGGTTGTCGCTTCGGCTGATATTATCTTTCCATTGGCATCTTTTGTTATCGCTCCAAGAACTTTACTGACATTGTAGTCATTAAAAAACACTGGGCTGAAATATAAAGAGTAAAATATCCTTAAAATATAAATCTCTTCACAGATTTTTGACTTTTTGAATAAAGTAAAATAAAATACAAAGTTAACAGGAATTTTCACCTCTGAGTCACAAGAATAGAGTCCATACCATAGAGATAGAGATACAAGTCTTTGATTCTCCTCCAACATGAAGTTATTTGTCAATAAAGTGATTTATAGCACTGATCACCCTAGGTCATTCTAAACCAAGATAGTGAAATGACACATGAATGATATGATAAACATGTTCTTATCAAGATTGTGACCATGACTCCTAATAAAATGTCATTTGTCCTCTTGTGCCTCAATATATATATACTCTACTCCAACATTTATTACAATTTACAGCTTAGATCCATTGTCCATAAGTGATATGAAAAATATATAATATTTGACCTTTAGCACTGATATGTTCCTCAGGTGGCTATGAGAAGCTAAGCAGAGAAATTTACTTTTTTGCCTAAATATTTTTATTTTACTGTGCACAGCTGTCCATTTAATATCACTGACCTTCTTGTCACATTGTTGACCGTGTCAAGTATTTCTGCTTGTGTAAGATTTCTGATGTGCGTTTCATTAAATGACCACAACTCCAACAGACTGCTTGACCAGCAAATGCTGCCAAATATTCTGGAATAAACATAAGCATGCAAAGTGGATGAAATTATTCAATACAACTTCTGCAAAACTAAAAAAAAAAAAAAAAACACTACCCACCAGTTACACAGTAAATGTGGTACTTTAAGACAGACTAACAACAGTTATCCTTCAGTATACTGTGAAATTATCTCCAGCTAGTCCACATATTTTTAATGTGGTTATCTTTCCAATATAAAACACAAACTGACAGAATCAGGAGGAGGATAGCAAATTGATCATTTAAGACAAATGAATCCACATTTAATTTTCACATCATATTTATATTTTGCCATGTTCATACCTTTAAAATCCCCAAGAACTCAAAGAGAATACATCATATCATATCATATCATATGGACATGCCATAAAGGTCAGTTAGAGCTAGTAATCTGACATGATAATAATAAATTCAGATACTAAGATTTATTATTTTAGCAAGAAATCAATATTGAATTTTGACTTGTGCACTTGACTGAGAGTGTCTGTCAAAAGAGCAAGCAGCATATGTTTCTAGTCTCAAAGAAGCATTTTAGTTGCTTTATGTCTGCAAAATTGCAGTATCATTTGAAGAATTTGATCATTTATAAATTATCACTTTTATGTGTTTTCACCATGTCTACAAACATTGTCTATTGTTATCTACAAGTCCATCACTGAAGACTTTACTCTGTGACCAAATCATTTCAATATTTGTCAAAGCCAACAAAGCTTTCCTTATTGATGTCATCTTTAGAAAAAAATAATAATAATGCCAATTAGTGAGCTAGGTACCTAATCCCTTGTCAACCATGTAATATAACAATAGAGAAATGGCAGATGTTCTGCAAACAAATATCCATTTAACCTGGCATACAGCTCCACATCTTAATGCTGAATAAGCCCCAGGCACATAAATATAAATCATATCCAAGCTGCCCTTATTTTGGCCAAAAACAAAAATTATAGTCCAATGTCTATCTTTTAAAACTTAGTCAGTGATCAAGCTTGGTAAATATTTTATATATCTATTCGTTTTCTATTCTACTTCATATCATAATTGGAATTTGTTAAGTATAAGGTAAAATTTAATGTCCTGGATTGAATTAACCTAAAAATGGGATTTTAACTTACTACAGCAGATGTACATGCAGGTATGTGCATTTACCATTAATAAGGATTTTTTTCTCTGAGTGCATAAAAATATGCACCCACTTCATTGCATTATATGTTGTATATTAATACAACGTAACCAATAAATTTGCATAAATTTTGACTGGAAGAAAATATGTATGTCAGTAACAGTCTGTAAGCAAACCTACTTGGTACATATACTAGTCCAGTTATAACTGCTGCTGTTGATAGCCTTGATGCTTATATCTATATCCAGCATCTGAAAAAAAAGATAAAATTGTGACATAAATCTCACTTAACAATAGACCAAGTTTCAATTTTCTCTTTATGTATTTATAATTTGTTCATTTCTACATAAACTATGTAACTTGTTGGTCCCCATTATCATCTTATTTTTCTAGATAAAAAAAAAACATTCCTGACAGATACAATCCAAAGTTTTCAATTTTAAACTTGTCTTAAAACTTATAAGGCTTTGTTGTTTAATCAACACTGAGATCAATTTCTAAATCAAAGTTTACAGCAATACATTTCAATGATTTCTTACTTATTTTATTTTAATAAGTAAGAAATCATTGATATGTATTGTTGTTTAAAAACATCATTAATTTTTTTGAAAAATATATCCAAACTTACAGCATTTAAAACCTTTGGTGTTAAAACATTATCATCCACTACCATCATGGACTGGAACCTGGTAACTGAAGGGTAGTACTTAGAGACCCAATCCATGTGATCCACAGATGGCGATCCATATGGGACCCATAGATTTTCTACGGCATCTTCTTGGTAGAATTTCATAAACCCTATTCCACACAGGGCAACAAACACAATGGAGATTAATATAGTAACCCATGGGTATGTTCCTATTGCTTGCCCCAACCTGGAAAATACAATTAAGAAAAAAGAAAGAAAAAAATACAATCTTGGAAAAATAAATCCTTTTTTTCAAGATGGACATTTGAAACCTTAAATTAAAATTAAATAAAAAAGTAAATTGTTTAAGTTTTTGTATGGATATTGTTCCATGTGAGAGCAATATTTGGGCAAAACTTTAAGAAAATAGTTTAAAAGGAAAGATATTAATAGTAAGTGAGCATTTCTGAAATGCTAAAAATGAACAGTTTTTGTAAATTTCAATTTCAAAACTCTTCTTTATCTTTGGATATATTGAAAAATTCAATCAAAATAATATAAAATAAATAATTGATCCATAAATTACTTCCTAAATAATTGAACTTTTTTTTGTTTAAAAAAATTAATGAATTTGAAATTTTTCAATTATAAATATCAAGTGGACATTTCCAAAGGATACTTTGTCCACTGTCTAAAACTACTACAGAAAAAATAACAAAAGGCTAAATAATACTATCCAATAAGAAAATCATGTATCATATTTATAAATCATTTTCTTCTTCTGAAATACTTAATGTCATTTCAATACAGTTTTAAATTCTGAATTTTTATCGAATTTCTTACTGGAATGTTAAACTTAATTTTTCCCAGGTTACTGACCCATATCATATGCTTGAGGAGAATATGCAGAATATGTATGGAAGGAGAAAATTATATTTATTATATAAAAAATTTCTTAATTATATTCAATTTCTATATATTTTTTCTTATCATATGTTATATTTTACACATTTAAATCTAATGCACTAAAATGTATATATAACATTAATTAATTAATGTCTTCATTATGCAATAACCTGAAAATTTTCTCATGAATGAAAATGTTAGCAAGTTAATTATAACACACACACACACACACACACACACACACACACACACGCATACTACCCGGTAGCTTGTATAAGGTGCATCCAGTACGCTCACTGGTGTGTCTGAATAATGCGTTAATTTTTTTTTTAAATTCACGTTTAATGACATTTACTAGTAATTCAGTAACGTATTATTGAAATCTAGATCTAAATGTAGACCTAGGGCTAGCCTGAAGAGATAATCAAAACTGCACAGGTAGGAGCCACAAAGGGTTTGAGGAATACACGACTCTCACAGACGTCTTTTTTAGCTATTGGAGATTCCTCGAAAGAAAGGGACTCTCGGCTTCATTTGACAAATCACACACGTCTTCTGTGAACTGCCGTATGGAATCTATTCATCTCTTGAAACTTTTTTTATTCGTTTCCGTCTGTTGTTCATACAAAACAGATTCGACTTCTATGATTTCTCCATTTCCACTTATTTGCACAGACGTACTGGCAATGTTATTGTTACCTGTAAAATGCGGTCTCCAGTCCATTGACGATCACATTGCTGACTTTTCTCAGGCACATACAATCACAAAAAGAGCAATTTTTCTTCACCTCCTTCTTCTCATCAAAATCAGACGTCTTGCCTGTCATGTCAAGCTTAATTTTGGGTCAGTATAACCATCAAAATCATCCTGTCAGGGCTTATATTTATTTTCAATAGCCTACCGCTTTCCTGTCCTTTCGCTACTTATAAAACCAAGGTCAAGGGCGTTGTTTCATGAATACGTTTGCGATTGGTTCGCGTCAGAACTAAGTGTTTTGATTGGGCGAAAGTAATCAATAGTGAAAATACTCACGTAGCGATACACGTGCTTCCTGGGAGGGGATCAATAAAATTGTTCGAGTGCAAATAATTAAACGATGTTTCAACGTGAGTTTGCATCGGAGCAATAACGCACAAAGCAACACGCCATAAAAGTTGTAAAGGCAAAATCGTCACTAGGGGCTCATTCCCATTTAAATTATCGGTCTACGTAGATCGATTCAACTCCGCAGGGACACTCGCTGAATGCAATCAGATAAACAGATTAACACGCATTCTCTTGTTTTCAACGTATTCGTATAGTCACCAGCTTTTCCGAATTCTACTCAACTCCAGGAGGAGGCGTGTTAATTTGCTTATCTGATTGCATTCAGCGAGAGCACCTACGGAGCTGGATCGATCTACGATAATTTCATTGGGGCTGAGCCCTAAGAAAGCCGACACAACCTTACCCCCTACTGTTAGTATTTTACCCCACTTAAAATTGTAAAATAAAACAACACTGTATTCAAATTTGCATGTTTCGTTGATTTTGAATGGGCTGCAGAACAGGTAGAAATAAGTTGGCCTAAAACGGAGATCTTTGGGGTGAAATTAGGTCTTTACGAAGGGGAGTTCGACTGCCTTTTTACACACACATTCACTCACACACACACAAAGAGTCCATCAACAAATAAGCCTGTCTGTCGTCTGATCATCGAATTAAAACCGCGCGGTCTTTTACGGAGCATGAGGAATTAAAGTTTTTTACCAATATAATTAATATAAATAGGGTGTATAGAATATGCTGTTTTATCAATACGTGTAGGTTGTTTTAGACAAGTGTGTGCCATTTCAGATACTGTACAAAAGCAGCGCATATGCTAAACATGGTCTTAGACTTGTTCAAATGTTCTTTAATTTCATCAGTATAAGCATAATCAGTATTTAAGTAAATACAAGAAAACTAAGGGCTCTGTGGATCACGCAGACTTAGACTGGACCTGCTAAATCACAGTGCCTAAGCAGTTATGCAAACAATTACCAGCCATGTAATCAGCCTTGAGATTTCTCAACAGGGTGACTTCAGACCAAAATGACCATCTATCTAGCTAGAGACATATCTGTGAATATCTGTGAAAAATCTATCAGTCGCCCTGGTAGAGGGTACCAGAAGCCCGCTTTTCAAGTAGGCCTATATTGTCCGGGAAGGGGGGGGGTAGCAGATGCAAACCTTTACTTGAAATGACTTGTTCACACTTGCTGGTAATACTGCGGTAACATAGGCGTAGACAGTACCTATTTGTCAAATCGACCATTTATATATTCACTGGCGAAATTGTTCATCTTTCTATCTTAGTTAAGAAATTAATAACATTTTCGGCGCGCTCCTTTTAACGCGTTTTTATGTATATAATGAGATGTTGAATTTAATCAATGAACACGATTGGAGGTAATATACCTGTATATTTTGTCTGATGAACGCATTAATCAATCTCCGACAAAGTTCCCCACTGTTTTGACGCATTCATCAACCATGATTTTTTTTTCATTTTGAATTAACTAATGTTTAGCGATTTACTACGTGTAGCATGTACTAGTTTATCGAAAATCTCCAACAATTAAATGAATAATTCAGTTAAATCTTAAGTTGCACGGAAAATATTTGCAGATAGATCAATATCATTTAAGAGAAATACCATCAGTTAGGACCTTGCCTTTGACGAACCACATGGAGGACGAGGACACAAAAGAAACAAGAAAAGCGGAGGACTCGAAAACCCGTGAGATAATAAGGTTGGAAGGAAGGGACAAAGAGAGCAAGATTATTTTTCCATTGAAAAGCTTTTAGGTACTCTATAGGTCATAGGTAAAAAGGGCATTGGTTGCTATATCATTATTAACTGCACTTTAAACTTTATATATGTATATATAAAAACGCATTTCATAATTTTTTCGTTCCCACAGATTCTTCGATAGGTATGCATGCTTACATGTACATTGTATTCTCTGTTTACCGTATGAACATCCGAATGACCAAAAATTTAAAGGTGTTTTCAAAACTTATAAAAACGCAATTGTTTTATTTTCATTGTTTGATTAAAAGCACAGCAAGAGTCTCTGGACGATCAACATCGCACAGAGGTACATCGTAGGCCTACATGTAGAGCCTTTGTTTAACTCAAAAGTGTCGGTGTTGAAAGAAAACTAACAGCTTACTCAATCTTTTTCATGTTTTCTTATGTGTTAAAAATCTTTAATCAGGCTATTCGTAATAAACCACGTACACTAGTCCTATAGCGTATAGAGTTTTATTACTGTATACCCCACAAGCGTAGTTGTCCCACCGCTGATCCCAGATACAACGGGAAACGACCTGCATGGCCTGGTGCTGCTTTTCTGTGATCATCACAGACGTCACAATTTTAAACCTCTCTAAATTCATTTCCTTGATCCTGTCTTTAATCATATCACTCAAAGTTCTACACTTTCGGTTCATTATATTAGGGTCGTACTTCTTATCGTGAAGATTTTGTTCCAGGACATTTTCAATAATCTGCCGAGCTTCTCGTTCCGGGAATCGACAGTCTGGTTCCAGTTTGTAGGTGTTCTCGAACTCCACGGGCATGTTGTTGGGGTTGAAATCGGACTTGTCGTCTGCTAGACCCATGGCCGCCCTCTGTCGGCTATTCCCGGGAGTAGGGTTTCCACTGGACAGACCGTCTTTTCCGTGCCATGTTCCTGCTCGTGGTCGATGTCCCCTCTGACCCGAGCTTTGATCTCCAGGTGGATGTTGATGTTGTTGATGTGGGTGAGCGTGCCCATCCTGATGTTGATGTGGGTGTGCGTGCCCATCTCGATGTTGATGTGGGTGTGCGTGTCCATCTCGATGTTGATGCTGTGCGCGCGGATGTGGATGTTGGGGACGGGGCCCATGGTGTTTATGGCTGTGTACAGACGAATCACCTTTTTGTTTGTTCAAAGATTCCACGCTCATCTTTCAGGCTTATCTTCTGCGTCTTCCGTGATACTGGAGGAAAACGAGCATCTCTAGTTATGCGACAGGTATATTTAATTCCAGTGCACAAAAATAAGTTAATTATAACTTTCTAACTGATTTTTACTAATAACAGATTCTACTAGTAGGCCTACATCATTAAAGCAAGTGTATGTATATGTATCTCAAAATCTGGAAATAGAGCCTTTGCGGATACCTACAGCGATGAAAATACGATACATACCAATTACTGGACTTGATAATTACGAAGATGCGACCTTAGTAGCCTGTCATCGATTTAGAAAATTTAAAAAAGAAAGAAAATTACTCCAAAGGGCGTCTGAAACGTCGCCCTACTTGATTTTTTCTGTGTGTTGTGAAAATGCAGGTGCTTGGTGACTGCCAGTTGGCTAGTGCTTCCTTTAATTGAATTCAATTAACAATTTGTATCCGCGCCCTTATCAGGAGTTTATTATGTATTTCGTCTTTATCTGCAATTTATAACTCTGCCCTCAAAACAGTCTATGCCAGTTGCCTGGTAATCCATTACGGCATGCGTACACATAACTGTGTATTGTATGTCTCCAATCGGCAAATTTTCAGGATTGAGATTACAAATCAAAAGTCAGTCGGTTTGAAGAGGAAGTGTTTTATGCCAAGGCATAATCCAGTGGCGAGTTTTCAGTCAGTTAACAGCTACTGGTGAATGTGTAGTAGATGGATAGTGAAACAGCTCACACAGCGAAACCAACTTCTTCCAGGATGTTTGGAATTGGGTAAAAACAAAATACAGTATAACAGGGATAAATAAAACATTTATTGTCATTGTAAAATACAGTGTATGTCAAAGGTTAGGGTTTCAAATGTTAAGATATGGATACTGGCCCTTTAAAGCTCTATTGTTTTTTATTTTTCTTCTCGTAATTCTCCGCAGGATTCAACCATATATAATATTTAAAATGTGCTCGCCCTCTATTTGCGTATTATCTTTATTTTTATTATAATTACTAATTACATGTCCTTTAATCTCACGCGTTTCAATTTACTCTCTGTTTTGCAACTGACGTCTTTGCCTTACGCTGTCCTCGTCTGAAGCAGCATCTTGGCCCCCAGCAATAAAAGAAGGAAATCCAGGTCTGAAGGGGAGAGGCAGAAAAGATCCTTGTGTGAACAAATTCCCTGGACGAATACGTATTGGAGAGAAAAAATTGTTCACGTTTCGAATGAAATTTGGAAATACGAATGGGCGGTTATCGGACTTATCCCCAGAAGGTGATGTCGTTGTTACTGGTTGCGGTGCTGGTCGTTCTCGGTTACTATTGGTTTGCTGCCCTCGCGCACGAGGCCTCGGGGGTCTGAAAATCACGCCCGTCGTTCTTTGACTGGTTGGTGGTTGTCGGGAGGTTGAGGCTGTGTTGGGTGGTGTTCCAGTAATTGTGATAGGTGGGTCGGTTGTAATCTCAGCCTGAGCGGTTGTGCTTATTGGTCCTGGGGTCTCAGTGGGTCTTGCGTACGGCGGACAAAATGAACGGCAAACTGCCTCAGATGAGCTCCCATCGATATAACAGCACATCGAGTTGTAGCATGCATCCATCATCATATATCGGGTGCACTTCGCTCCGACACGAAGGCGAGGCCGGCAGGTGGAAGGTCCAGAGGAAGAATCACAAAACAAATAAGGTGATGTACAAGGGCAATCATTTGAGCTTGATGAACATTTGTAAAAATGCTCCGTGTATTCATTTGCCAAACCATCGCCGTTTGTTATTTCGAACGGCAACATGCGGTCTTCAAACCGCTGATATGAGGTCTCTAAACTGGTGATTTGAGCAACGCCAGGCGGTGGAGTTTGGTTAACACCTAACGCCACTGTGTCGTTGGGGTAATCGAATCGAGGGTCAATGCCATTTGCTTTTTGCCGTTCACGAAATTCCTCCCAAGCACAATCAATAAAGGCGTGGTGAAGGAAAAATACAGGGTCTCCTGGGGAATTCTCCAAATCTATCATTTGACCACCAACCCAGTTATGGGTCTTCCCGTGATTTAACTCAAACGTGGAATCTACATAAAATGTAATGTCACGAAACCTCGTGGCCGAGTCCGGTATACCATCATCGGCCATAAGTCCCGGGAACGGACGCTGTTCGAACCCGTAGGTTAGATTTCGAAAAAGGACGTTTATTCCTTCCGTTGCAAATCTAGTGGGCCAATTTGCAAATGGTCCTGTCGTCACATTCCCGTAGCCATTTCCGGCAAATTCCTCCGTCCACATGATGGAATCCTCGGCATTTTCTAGACCTTCGTCCATTGTGGAGTTCCAATAGGGAAGGGCCACATCGGGATCAAAGCGTTGGAGGGCCCGTTCAAGCCTATAATGAAACGGGTAATATGAGCAGCGAAAAATGATAGAAAGATGACTATTAATACCTTTTGCTTAAAATTGGTTGTAATGTTTGATGTTTTGTGCAAAAGTTGAAACAAAAGGGGCTATACAAACGTAACAAACGTAGAGGATTATTCTGCAGCTTTTTTCATGATTTTTTTATGATTATTACTTTCGTCAAGGTGGTTACGTTTTTGGTTTCGTTAGTTTGTTCGTCTGTTAGCAACATTATGCAAAAAGGCATGAGGTGTATTTGATGAAACTGCCCAGAAATGGCCAAGGAACGAAGATTTTGGTGGTGATCCATTTACTAATAAACTAATAGTTAATTTTTAGTTTTTTTAAACTATTTGCTTGTCTGCCTTCCTGTCAGCAACATTATACAAAAAGTTATGGAGGGATTTCGATGAAATTTTCAGGATAGGACAGACTTTAATGGACTACATTTTGGGGGTGATTAATTAATAAGTCAATCAAATAGTAAATTAATTAGTTAAAAGATTAATCAAAAATGAGAAATTGGGCTGATTAATTAGTTCATTAATAAATAGTGAATAATAACGACAATTGAGTTTATTAATTAAATGATTGATAATAATTATCTAATAGTCTTTGGTGGAGGTCTGCGTTCTTTGGGTGCTTTTGGGGTGCTTACTGTCAAAAATAAAATAATCAAAGTTAAGTATTATAACTTACTGCTTAAAAATACATTTGCATTACCTTTTTCATATTAATATCTAACTATAACAACTGTATATTATAGCTGCACTTTAAACCTTACATTCATTTTCAAGAGAACTATAGATCTACCAACCTCTTTGTTTTTATGACCCCTCCTTCAGAACACGAGAGTTGGATTAAAACAATTTTATCACTTCCTTAACATTGGCGTTTAAGCTTCTGGCAAGAGTAATTTCAAGGTTTGTTTATCGTCTAGGATTAATGATAAGACAATAAAACACTGGACCTTTTCGCTGGAGGAAGTTTGAGCGGACTGACATTAGACCTCGTCACGAAAAGGTCGTATTATGATGATCTTTGACGGAATCGAACATCCCCTTTATCCCCGGACATGTATTTATTAGATATGAAAAGAGGGAAAACTAGAGACAGGCTGGCGTTTTACAATGTTTTAATGAAAAACTAATATGTAAATAAAGTAAACATCGGAGGACATTGAATCAGATATATGACACAAATATAATTGAATTTGCGGATAAGGAGTTAGCACACGCATGCAGTGTAAAAATGAACAGCTGGCCCTGTCGACAAATGTGCACATTCTATATGCAAATGAGCTCTGAAATTCATTTGAATTTGAATTTGTCTGGTTCAAGGTATTTTAAAGTGACAAGAATAGTGAACAAACCAAAAGGCAAATGGAAAGAGAAGGTCACGGCCAAATACCATCCCCATCTCACCTTCTTTACCTTAAAGGGTCCTCATTGTTTTCAGAATGACACCTTGTAAAATGCCACATCGCAAAGGTTAATGCTTATTCTAATAGCAGCAATTTTAGTGCTTCGTATTTTATTATTTAATGATATTTCCATTGTTGACTCATTTTGAGTAAGTCATAAGGAAACCGCGAAGGGTTAGAAATACACTTTAGTACATAACGATGCAGGGAGACCGACCCCATTTATTGGCTTAAATATTTTCACGTTGTCATATTAGCGTACTATATTATCAGTGAAAGAAAGAGAAGAGGGAGAAAGGGAGATGCTACAAACATTTGCACAATTTATCCCTCAAATGTTTTAGGCGGAGAAACACTTTCAAAATGTACTCAAGTTTTTTTATCTTTGGTCAGTTGTATGGCCATCGAGAGGTGTTCACAGGAAATGTCCTTGAACAGATAATTTACTCTTTTCTACTTTCAATTTTTTCTTTTGGGAGTGGGAAACAATTGTCAATTAAAACACGCCCTGCAAATGATAATCTCATTTCCAAACCGCTGAGAGGCTTACCTGAAAAGCAGTTCTCTGTGAAAAGGCAGAAACGCGGGTCCAAAGTGAGCACCCGGGGACAGGTTAGCTCGGTGATACCCAACAAAGATGTCGTACTCCCGTACACCGTCAACAAAAGAGTTCTTCAGACGGTTCAAGGCTCGGTGAAAGCGGTCTCGTTTTTCTTTGGTTAAGCTTCGATACTCTTCCCTATAGTGCAACCTTACGGGATCAGCAACGTTGTTGGCGCCTCTCTGAAGCAAAAATGCGTTGGCCCTCGCGTTCGATGAGGCTCTGTTAACTGTGTCTGTATTATCGCCCCCTGGGAACCTTGAGATCCGATTTCCGATCCCATCCTGTCCCTGTGTAATTCTACTTCTTATATTTTGCAAAAAATTAGGCGGGGGTGGTGGTAAACTGAATGGCAAAGGTGGGAAAATCCTTCTTGGGGCTTGTCTTGCATAACGTGCTCTTTTGGGCTGTTGCACTGTCTGCCTGTGTTGTTTCATCCCCAAATGTTGGAACCAACGCTGAATTTTAGGGGTCGGGTAGAAACTGAACTTTTCCTTGCTTTTTTTCATCCAGTCCATGTACATATTGCAGCAAACGAACCGATCAGCCTCTGATATGACTTGGTACGGGTCTTGAACTGGACATTGCCATTGCCCCGACTGATCCGAGCCCTTCACATAGTGATCTGTGGCCAAGAGGAGTACAAGCAACTGAAGTAAGGCGGCTCCGTGCGTCCAACTGCTCAACAAAGGGAGTTTCTGCACAATGAAAGGCATCGTCCAAAAAGAGATACCCAACTGTTGCATTTTGGTGATTTTAAACGTACTAATAAAACAAATGATATTTCTCTTTTTTTTTCAAGAACCTTTTCTGGTCTGCAGTTTCAGTGGTAAAAAGTCGTTATCAGTGCGTTCACTGCACTTTACTGCTGCAGTCTGTTTCAACTTGTTTTTCGGGTTACTATAAATTTCCATAGGCCTTGTCGTTGTTTGATTCTGTGCACCGCTTTGCCTGAGGCCAGTCGATAAAGTTTTACTATTGTTTAGAGCGTGCCTTGTGTATAAACGTATGTGCATCCTGAAATTAAATCCCCACAAAAAATTAAAACACGATGATGAGGTATTTTTTTATGCACCGCAGACACAATTACACCAAGGTTTTCATCCTTAAGTAAATCGGTATTTTTTGATAAGTTCTATAATTTGCCATTTCATTATTAAAGAGCCCAGAGTCTTTTTTTTTTTTTTTTTTTTTTTTTTTTTTTTTTTTTTTTTTTTTTTTTTTTTTTTTTTTTTTTTTTTTTTTTTTTTTTTTTTTTTTTTTTTTTTTTTTTTTTTTTTTTTTTTTTTTTTTTTTTTTTTTTTTTTTTTTTTTTTTTTTTTTTTTTTTTTTTTTTTTTTTTTTTTTTTTTTTTTTTTTTTTTTTTTTTTTTTTTTTTTTTTTTTTTTTTTTTTTTTTTTTTTTTTTTTTTTTTTTTTTTTTTTTTTTTTTTTTTTTTTTTTTTTTTTTTTTTTTTTTTTTTTTTTTTTTTTTTTTTTTTTTTTTTTTTTTTTTTTTTTTTTTTTTTTTTTTTTTTTTTTTTTTTTTTTTTTTTTTTTTTTTTTTTTTTTTTTTTTTTTTTTTTTTTTTTTTTTTTTTTTTTTTTTTTTTTTTTTTTTTTTTTTTTTTTTTTTTTTTTTTTTTTTTTTTTTTTTTTTTTTTTTTTTTTTTTTTTTTTTTTTTTTTTTTTTTTTTTTTTTTTTTTTTTTTTTTTTTTTTTTTTTTTTTTTTTTTTTTTTTTTTTTTTTTTTTTTTTTTTTTTTTTTTTTTTTTTTTTTTTTTTTTTTTTTTTTTTTTTTTTTTTTTTTTTTTTTTTTTTTTTTTTTTTTTTTTTTTTTTTTTTTTTTTTTTTTTTTTTTTTTTTTTTTTTTTTTTTTTTTTTTTTTTTTTTTTTTTTTTTTTTTTTTTTTTTTTTTTTTTTTTTTTTTTTTTTTTTTTTTTTTTTTTTTTTTTTTTTTTTTTTTTTTTTTTTTGTTAAATTATAGCGAATATAAACGAAACTATAATAGTCTAAAAACAATATGAATGGCACTTTCATGATTCGTTACAATAGTAGTATAAAAATATGAATATCCAACACAGAAGTAGAAATATAGAAAATTTCACTAAAAGGAGAAAGTAGATACCTGAAGAAGTGAGCCAACACGACCTACCTACCAATGCGCCATCAATTAACCTCTATGTTCCCCGTCAGTATCAGGGTCTTTCACACGCCGTGATTTGTATTTATAGCTGTCCCGTTCGGGTCACCACGCTCCTTAATGTTGCGCATCCAAAAATCACAATTCATTTTGTAAAACATTTCCTTTCAGGACAAGACACATAAACGGGGCGCGAGAAGTGATTTACTCGCAGGAAACCTGTCTGGCCTTCAGTCACCTTTCTATGACATGGAGACATGACAAAAGGCTCCCTCACGTCCTATCCCTCGCGGTCCACAGGTTGAAGTATTAGGTGAACTTGAAAAGTGATTAATATTTAAGGAACATGCCAGACCTGCATTCACCTTACACGGGCTTGCAGGTGTTTCATTAAACCAAATGGTCTATTTTGTCCTCACGTTGGCGTTATTTTCCCTCTGTTATACTATAAAATTGTTAATTTTTCATTAACCTTAGATGTAGCTGCCACAGTAGCCTATAATGTATTTGTCTTACATGTAAATGAAGGTTTTGGAAATGTAGTCTATTTATGAACAGCTTTTATATCACTTCAGCTGAGCGTAAGTAATAAAGTTCACTTTAATCTGTTTCTCGATTTCCCTTTTCAACTTCTCTATGGCTAAGATCCAACATAAGATGAATCTTATCCGTTGGATCCTCGTCTATGTTAAACTGAGCCTTTTTTAAAGAATACCTGTAAATAAAGTATATAGCTCTACTGGAAAAGTGCTCAAAGTAAGTATTATTACTTTTAAACCGATTATAGCTTCGCGATCTACTTTCTCTCATCATTTCATGCTCAAAATGGCCTTCTTACGACTATTTTAGATAATACTTTAATGTATTTTATATTGTATCTTAAGATGTCTATTATTAAATGATTGTTATGGAAAATGTATTTTTCGGGGATAAAAGACACTACATTCTTTTTTTTTTTTTTAAGCTCAATATTATCTCCCTGCTTTTTAACTCAAGTGACAAGTGAAAACTACTGAATGTACAGTGTATTTGCGACATTTATTCAGTGCAAAAAAAAAAAAAAAAAAAAAAAAAGGATCAGGCACCGAATACTCTTATCCATAAAATGTTTTTACCGATTCCGAGTGCATGGTATTGTCTCTTTTATGGACTAAGCTGAAACGATTTCAGTAAACGCTTTATGCATAAAAAACTCAACGCTGCTGACGATTGGTTTTTCTACCATGGGGCTGCCTTGTGTCAAAAATAAATAAATAAAATAAATAATAATGATAATAAAAGAATCTACAACTTGCTTGTGAAGAATAAAAGGAGAATTTAGCGAACTGCCGTCTCCATGGCCTTTTCGAGGAAGATTTAATAATTTGCTTTATCCGAAGGCGCAGACAAGCATTTACGAGGCTTCCATTGGCTTGCAGCATTCATTTGTATTGATAACATGCATCACACAACAAACTTCAAGTAAATGTGCTTGTTGATACTGTACGAGTACACTTCACTGCCACATTTTCTCAGCCTCACAGTTGCACCTTAAATTCATCATGGAGGCCTGGACAAAAGCCTCATATAAAGTAATTTGATTTTTTTGTTATCGGTCCATCTGATGTACCCCATCTTGTCCTAATGAGTCTATAAATGCTGTTTTCGTCGCTTAATTTACACTGGAATGGGTTTAGGTCTAATTTAAAAAAGCAGTCACTATATTGCAACCCGCCCCTTACCTTACCCCATCGTTTTCCGGCCCAACACTTATTGAGGTGGTTGATGAGTGGAGGAGGGGTTGGGGGGAAAAGGGAATGTTATTCATAAAACCATTTTTTGTTCTGATGAGAGCAATTCTCAAGAAATGATGTACGGAAATCCCTTTTATTTCACAAGAGATGACAACCACTCAATGTCAATGTCAAAGTCAATGTCAAAGTCACTGTCATCTAGTCACGTAAAATTGATGCATTTTGGCAGAATATTCGAGGAAAAACATCATTTTAGCACATAAAATGCCTCGATGGTTCTCTTACAGAGTACGTGACAGAAAACACGTTCATTTTAATCTTGCATCAGAATATTCTCAGTTTCACTGAAACGCATCGTATAAGTATAGGTTGGTGTGATCTCTATCTCTGTTAGCCTGTACCCATTTGGTTAATTAAATTGAATGAATGTTATACGCGATGCGGAATACAAAATTGTGTATTCTGAAAGTGTCACGATACGTTGATTTCCCCCCCCCCCCCCCCCCATTTTGCAAAAGTTTAAAACTGTATGATATATTTCATTGTTGGGTAGATTGATAAAATAATTACAAGTAATGACATACTTAACACGCTTAAATTCAGTCGATCCTGAATTTATTTATAGCACGCAAAATTGTAATTTATGCCTGCGGGTATTTTTCTCACGCTATTGTTTGAGCGTGCCCGAACACACGCGCTCACTGTCTTCTGATGTTATGGGTTGAATATGGATTTATTCTCATGACGATCCTCGCGTAAGTCTCACTTTTGGTAATCATTTAACAAAGAAATTGCTTTTAAACGTTTTAAGCCTCGCCGTCACAAGAAAAATATCCAAGATGTATTAAATGTAAAAAAATCACAATAATATCCATTATCATGCTTTCTTCAACATCTTAATGTTTGCCGCAAAATTTTATACGTTGATGCACGTTACATTACATGTTGAAATACACGCTTGACGTAGCGAAACCTGAAGAGATAAATTTGTTTTTTTTCCAAAGGCTACAGAATAGTTGCAGGTTTCTGCAGTTTTCATTTGTTGTCATAATGATATGAAATACACAAGAAAAAGTTATGTTCTGTAGACACCTAAAAACCATCACCTCAATGTACTGAGGGTTCTGCAGGGCGTTATATAATGTCGGTTATCCACTCCATGTGAATATAATGACTTTTGGATTCCAAACATTTATTGGCAGGCACCAACTTTTATGTGTTACTTTAAATTTCGGCTTTTTTTGGCGTTGATTAGAGCTGATTTCTTGGCATATAACGCTGAAATCCAATTGTCAAAAAGCCTTATAGAATAAACCTCTTATTAAACCAATGCTTGTTGAATGTCGTAAAGATAAAGCCACTTTTGAAACCAGTACAAAAAACGTGCGTCCTCTTTCTACCCCAAACGTGAGAAAGGTCACGTAAAACGCCAAGGGTTTATCTGTGCTTTAATTAGGAGATTATTCAAAATAATACCATTTTCCAAAAAATATTCTTTCGGCAATGAAGGTTTTAAAACGTGTAAAGATTATAAACCATAAATACAAACTGAAAATAATAAAAGCGTTATATACAATGCAGTCAGTCAGAAAAGGATTATTTTATTCCCAAAACCATCCACGGCACCTTAATTAATTCTTAGCATTTCATCATATCAGTTATTCAAATCAGCACGTAATCCAGCCCACGGTTCCTTTCCCATTAAAAGTCTGATTACGTTTAATTCTTTTAATCCACCCTGAGTCTCAAATGACACTGGAAACTCATCGCTCTACTGTTAGCATGCAAATACCGTTTTCCAGTAACTGAAAAGTGAGTTTCCAGTAACCTCTGAAAATCAGGATGCTTCAATCATCCCAAAGCAAACTGAAAAAAGGAGATACTAGATACGTAAAGAGTAAATATCTATTATCAACGCGATTTAAGGGTTACTGAATTCATGATGATCCGTGATGAGGACTAGCGCTGTTGCGTGCAACGACACATTTTCTCGTGAGCCCCCTCCAGTCGCAGCCATAATGAGGGGCTGTTTAGGAAATCTATAAAGATTTTACCGCTCGGCTGGTCCCGCGTCACGGCACTTTCCCTGTGTGGTGTGTGAAGTGCAGACGCTGCCATACGGAGAGCGACAGGTGTGCGAATTCGGTGTCTAAAGAGAAGAAGTAGCTTGTCTAAGCTACCTAGACACAGTAACAATGATGTCCCTCTGGGTATGTGTGGCTCTTCTGGGAGTACTGGGCAGCGCCACTGGACACGCTGGTCATGAGTGCCCAGAAATTCACAACGCAAATGGACGCTTGACCAAGGAAGATATCGACATGTGTTGCACCAAGTTGAATTATTGGAAGCGTGAATGCGCCAAACCACCAAAAGTTAACTTCCCACCAGAAGTTGTGAAATATTGGGAATCTCTCGAAACTGCCGTTACTCACGAGGAAAAAGAAGAAAATGCATCAAAACACAACAGAACTAAGCGCCAGACCGCTACTGGTCGCAGAGATGATACTACCATTAACCCACCACTGTATTGGCAGAGTCGCCCCATCCCTCCTCGGCCATTACCAAGAAAGGAATACCGACTCCTGTCGCCAGCAGAGAAATGGCGCTTCCATCGGGCTTTGCATGCTATGAAGGTGACTATGGTTCCAAACACAGAATTTTCGGAGTACGACATTTTCACCGCCTACCATCAAGCTACAGAGGCACCTGGTGCTCACTTTGGTCCAGCTTTCCTTCCTTGGCACAGAGAGTTCATCAAAAGGTTTGTTGGATATTTTTAAAACCCCATTAGACGTCCTTTTACTGTTTAACACAATAGTTTTTGTTGTTTTTTCAAATCCAAGAAAGCGCTTCCCTTGACTTTCAGCATTTTTCCTCCACGCGAATAAGTCTAATTAAGGAAGTTAAAAGTGTGTTTAATTCCTTGATCTAATCAAACAACTGACTGTTTTGTAACAAGTCGCGTGATAAAACTCTTTACTGAAGTAAATAAGGAATTTTTAGACCTACCAGACATTAAATAAGTAAATCCAATAATAGATTAAATGGTGATTGGTATATACTCTACATAATCAAACAATGTATCCGTCGATGATGTACAAATTTAATTGAAAAATGCGTCAACGTTAATAAAAAAAAATGAATAAAAATACGCAGAGACTAGCTGCACAGTTTATGCCAATATACCAAATATAAGATTGACATTATAAAGTTGAAACATTCATTAGAAAAGAAAGAGAGATAAGGTTAAAGCGGTCTTTAAAATTATTATAACCACTACACTTCTCTTTTTAATGGAACCGTTATCGGTATACGTTACTTTCCATAATCTCCGCCTGTAAATTGCTTTTGAAATGAGCATATCTGATCTGTCATAATCAAGGATCCTTAACATTCAGCTAATTGCCCCAATGAGGGTTCCTCATGACATTTTCCTGATAATATCTGCACATTTACATTTAAGGAAGACCTATTTTACAAATCGTTCCTTTTTCATGTTATATAAAGACGTTTTATTCAGTGCCCTAGTAAACAAAGTTTTCGACAGATGTATTTGTCTCCTTGAAGACAATTCTGTAAGACACAAGCCATAAAAGATATAGACCAACGGCAAGTACTTGCAATAAAAGGGACATTTTCGAAGATTTTGTCCTTTGAAGATTGTTCACTTATACCCCCTACTTAGTTTCGTCTGAAAGTTAAATGAATGTAATAGTTTATTCGAAAATGTTTAGAAACTGAAAATATCTCAACCGTTTTTTCTATACCCGCATCTTTCGAAAACCCTAATCTCGTCAATATAGATATTAATCCGATGAACTCGGATTGCACCAATACTTAAGGTGAATATATTTCCTTAACCGCAGCGCTGTCTGACCCTGACATAGCTCCGACCCCCTCATTACGGCCTACCTAATTACACTGACTTTACTTAAATATACACCTGTTTCACACACGACAAGGATTTTGCTTTTGATATGAAAAATCTCACGAGTAATTTGTATGACAAATGCATTTATTGCATATGTATTTTCCCTCCACATGATCATTGTCCTTTAACTATATTCGCAAATCTGTCCTGAAGTACACATAATTTTTGTGTGTTGTTGTCTTTATTTTTCATTTTCACAATTTTTTTTGAAAAAAAGTCCAAGATTATCACAAATTGGCTGGTAGATAAAATTCACCACTAGTTTTCCGACGTTTTCCGTCTTTCCGACCTCATAATATAACAAGGTAATATATATTACAAATAATTAAAAGTGGATACTTTCACCTTTTACTGGAAAAGTTTCATTCTTAATACATTAATTGAGATGAATCAGTGGAATCCCCACTCATTACATTAAGTACATGTTTACGTAAATTGGCTTCCTTCGGTAAACTAGCGTATTCGGATCGGGCCAATACAAAAGCAATGCAAAAGCGAGATGCAATATGGACCTGCTTGACATTCATAATGACTGGAGAAAAAATGGAAACAAATGAATTCTGTCAAGCCTTCATGTGATTCAAGTAATTTGCACTAGAAAGCTAAGCAAGCATTAGCTGTTTTAACCACTGCGTAAATCGCGACCATTTGTCTTAAAGGTAAAAACGTGCAGTTAACTGTGAATTCTGTAGTGTATGTCAGGTATAGTAAACGAACCATCAAGCATGACGCTTCAAGGCAATGAATTAATCGTTAATAAAAGTGACCTTAGTTTATTATAAGTTCTTTTGGTTTGATTTATAGTTTGTCATGCTGGCGTTAAAAACTACTGATCGTAGGAAAGAAAGATGGCCATAACATGAAGTGTCCTCATGAACCTCTGGGGCCGGACCGGTTTTATGCGAAAATTTCGTGAGAGTTGTTATGGAAGTTCGCTTGTTTTTGTTTATTGATCAACACACGAATAAGGCAAACAATGCTACATTATTTATCGTCGTTCCATCGGCTCTTAGATTGTTTCTCTCCTGATATAATACTTGAATTTGTTTGATAACAGCATATCTAACTAAGAAGTAATTTCTTTCCAAGAATGAGAAAAATGGCCGGCCAAACAATGAAGACTATAATTCTCTTCTTACCATGCATTTGATAATCGGAACTGGATATGTCATTAAACCTTTCATTTATCAACCTCCAGTTAATAAATAGTTAATTTGGGCTTAAACTGTACTATCCATTTCCGTTAATCTTAAGACACAACTGCAGTCGGTACATACACACTCTGTGAGCGTGAAGTTCACTAAAACAAATATGTAACGCACCTGGTATAGTGACCTTTTGCGTAATTATATTTGCTTTACAACTTACCACTTCCATTTCTCAGCAGACGACTCGTCTAAAATTGCCACCAACATGCAATACAGCCATCTGAATTTTGCTTATGCTGTCCCTGTTATACAAAGAGAGTTCTTAAGGGACAGAGCAATGTCCTTATTTCAGTTGTAGATATTCTGTGCTAACATATCAGGCACATATTGGCTGGCTTTTTCGAAGTGAAAATTCAATAAGTCCATACACCTGTTTATCCGACTGAAACTGACTGAAGAGAAGTCTAAAATTGTTGAGTTTTAAAGACGATTGCTGAGTTTTAAAGACGATTGCATGGTGACATTTAAAGCCAGGAAAACCGTTAAGAATACTAGAAAAAAATCGATATTCAAAAAAAGTGGCATGGGTGGCATACTGCCCCTTAAAGTCGAACGCGTAGTGGATTTAGACATGTAAGGGCCAGGTCGTTGCACGGTGTCACAATGATGATTTTGACCGGTACATATATTTGTCATTGTATGTCTCATGAATGATATGACACAAAGATGATTTCATACATGATGTGTGACCTCACGGTGACTTCGCGAATAGTGCGACTAATGAACAACTCGACAATAAATATCTTTGTTCTCGTTACAGTATGCAATACCGTGTCCAGCTAAATGCATTGTTTGCCTTTAAAATGAAAGTTTTGGGCAGTGCTTGGTACGACTATAAACGCTGATGGGATACTAGTAATTTAGGATCTTATGAGTTCTTACAGGCAGTCTAGCATTTTGAAAAGCCCAGATGGTAGAGATAACGCTGTTGGCTTATCTATTTTAGGCGTGTCAGGCATTATTAGAACAGATTTGACCCAAGAAGTTATCTTTATAACTTCTTGTTTGACCAAAGCCCGCTGTGTGTGTCTGTGTGTGTGAGTCCGCTCGTGTGTGAGAGATAGGGTGTTCATTGAAAAAATCTGCTTTGCTTTTAAACCGAACCTAATGTATCAATTTTGCTAATCAAAGCAACCAAAGATTTTAACTTGTTTGATTTAAAAAAATAAGTAGGAAATAAGAATTCAGAATATATGCAATTATATATATATACATATATACTTATATACTTTTACGTGCAATCCAAAGGAAGGGGTATATTGAGTCAATTTGATAGAAAACCAATCGCATGGTACTGCAATTTCATGCTATGATATTATTTAAATGTAATTTAAATGGGATGTGCCTAAAATGTGTCTGGTCCTGCTGATCGACTAGTGACGATGGAGGTTGTGTATTGATGTGTACACATTGAGTGATCAACGTTTAAGAAATCAACAAATTGTCCAATCTTTTTTGTAAGTTGTCAAAAAATTATCTTTGTCACAATCTCTTCATATTCATTTTACAATTCAACGACGATTTGCGTTTTTTTTTTTTTTTTTTTTTATTAAAAAAGGGCGCGGTATACATCGACAGCTCTGAGTTTTGGCCGTGCGATGGAGAGTGAACACGCGAGTTATGGATATCTGGCCTGAGAACTTTTCACTCAAAGGCAATGACTGGCCGAATGATTTTATACTATCATGCCCAATCCGCAACTCTCAAGTGAATACATTAGGCTAGTCACGACAGAAATGGCATGCTGGTGTGAAGTAAACGGATATGAGCATAGCAGTCGAAGAATTGAGTTAGTGAAAATACTTCGGTCTCTGTTTATGTCCAAATAAAAGCACATGCATGGGTGAATGTAGGCCCTACATGTACTAGTAAGACGATCTATTCAGCCATGATTTACCAAAAATTATTCGACAAAATCACAGCGTATATACATAAGTGCAGTAAATTATTCCTTTTTGTCGAACCAGCATAGACCTGATGCCATGTCGAATGCTATATTTACTTGTTTAACTTCCAAAATGAAGTGCGGGGTGCACCATTACATTGGTGATGGAATTTACGGTTCGCGCTGGTGGTACCTTCAATAATTCAAAGTGTTTAAGGGGCTACGAGGGTCAGACTGAACGACGTCCATTTTTACATTATCCGATACAAGATATAGCGATAATATAAAATAGGTGTTTTATGGCTGTCACCTCTTTTTACCACGCGCATGATACAAAGAGAGGGAGAGTCGTGAACTCATTTTCGTGTAACCACCAAATACGTTTGTCAGAATAACCTAATGAACTACTATTGAATATCTGTCTTGCATGTTTTATGGCGCTTACTGGTAGAATCGCTACCCCCTAACAATCTAGCATGATTTCACTGCCATAAGGGCTATTTGAATTGCATGTTACTATATCTTTTCAATTAAATATAGAGTTACGCGTATATGTATGCGATCTCACATTTTTGATAGCTTTATGTTCTTGGTTAACTTTCGTCATGAATAAATACCAGATTTTAAAATCGACAATGGCCACTGGCACGTGATAAACGACTACAAAAACACCCAAACCACTGAACATTATAGACTAATACAGGTATTCGACTTAACTGTAATGTTAACGAGATATACATGTAGGAACCCATCCCCAATCATCAAACAGCACACTTGATTAAGGCCTATTGTCGTTACACGACGGGAATCCGTTCGACTACTGGTCAAACCCAAGGCCAAACTGCCAGACATGGCGAACATGTACTTACAAGAGTGTTGGCATTCAATCCAAAATTTCAACCTTTTCGTTTTAATCATTACAGGTTTGAGACAGCCATGCAACGGCATGAGCCTGGAGTGACTTTGCCATATTGGGACCCGACCATGGATGACGGTATGCCCCGCCCACAGGACACCATTATGTGGACTCCTGAATATATGGGAAATGGTTTCGGTTACGTCACGAGCGGGCCTGCCGCCAACTGGAATACACCATTCCCCGTCGCCAACCGTACTCGCCTGTATCGCAACCTAACTGCTGGGGTATTGGAGGGGCGTGTGCCTCTTCTTCCCAACGATCTAGAAATGGGTTTCCTCTACGCCGGTGGTAGGGGTCTAAGGGATCTTTCGTTTTACGTCGACCCTTCTCTAGAGTTTGTCCACGGTCGTGTCCATGACTGGATCGGTGGCCACATGGGAGATTTAGAAAACGCACCAGCTGACCCTGTTTTCTACATGTACCATGCTTACCTTGACTGCTGGTGGGATGACTACAGGCAAAAGCAAAGAAGTCTGGGGATCAATCCCGAAACTGATTACCCCGAAGACGCTGAAGCCCAAGGTGTTGGCGGCACAACCCCTCTCCCTGAGTGGCCCATTCCTACCCGCGTTGAAGACTCTGTTCATCTGCCGAACAAGATGATGCGACCTTTCAGAATTCGTAATATCGATGGATTGTCGGACGACTACACCAGGCTATATTACTCCTGTTCCCCACGCCCTGTCTGTCCAAGCTGCAACAACTCGCCCATTCTTTTCTGTGACAATGCCCAAAATATACCGAAGTGTCGCACTAAACTGCAATTGAACACCAACTGCACTGCTTACAAGGACTTGAACCCTTGTCACCAGGGTGAATGTTGCGCCATTGGAGTCGGCGATCAGTATATGTGCCGTTCCAGCTGTTCTTCTTTCGGGCCAGTAAGGCCAATTCATCAACTTCCACAACAACCTCAGGTACAAGGGCCACAGCAGACAGGATTTGATGGTCGTCTACACAGAGGGCCAAACGACCAGTTGCCCCCACAGTATGTTCCAAACCAAATACCAAACTCAGTCAATATCCCGACCGGTTCAAACCCCGCCATTAAACGACCAACCTCAGTATAACGTCCCATCACAAAACCAAGGTCAAAGGCCTGGTCAGTATAACGTTCCTTCTCAGAACCAAGTTCAAAGACCCCAGACCATCTATCAACCACAGTACAACGCTCCAGCCACAAGGCAGGCTCAACCTATCCAGTACAGACAAACTCAATACATTGGACGTCCTCAGTCTCAGCAATCCTATGCTCCATCATACAATCAACAAAATTACAATCAAGCGCCTAACTACCGACCAAACCAATATCAGAGTTCTTCCAATGGGCAATATTACAGACCTCCTAGTACAACATACCAAGGTAACAATAACAACTACGGACAGCGTTACACTAATCCAAGAACTTCCCTATATGTGAACCCTTTCACTGGGCAGCAACAGCAGTATCGCCAGGCTACGTACAGACAACCACCGCAGACTTCACTCTACGCACCCGTTGGCCTCAACCGTAATCCTTACGGTCAAAGGCCTCAGTACCGTGCCCAACAGGCCTCTCCCGCCTACAACCAGCGTCCCGCCTCTCAGTCCTTCACCATTCCTGGTCAAAATTATTACAACAACAGGGCGGCGAACTACTTTTGAAGACAGAGTTTTGCTGTACAGAAGTGAATAAGTCCAACTTATTTCTGATGAAAATTAATAACAGATGTGAATTATACCGCAGATACTTTAAAATTCATTCTACATCGTTTTTATAGCATTAATCTCTCGACTCATTGAAAAAAAAATTGAGCTTAACTACATACTTTAAAGAGCTATTGCATATGTTTGATTCCCTTTATGACATTGGATTGTTCTTAAATTTATATAATGCAGCTTCAGGGTAAATTATTGAAAGTAGTAAAGGTACATGGGTAATAATCTTACTGAGCTGTATCTGTTTTGAGGTACTTGTTACAATGGAAATGGGAATAAACTAGAAAAATTGAAAAAATGTGTTTCAATTCAATTTCTTTATACACACACAAAAAAGGCAAACAATACTTAACATCAAGTCACAAGGGCGTAAGCAAGAGTTTTATGACGATCAGAGTCATTTTTCAACAGGAAACGTCATTTTTTTGCTACTTTACCAAAAGTAAAATCACCTACTCGATTAGTTTGAATTTTTATCTGGCTGTCAAGTTCTATCCCATCTCATATGACATGAAGTCTTAAAATATTTTCTCTCAATTAATGTTTCACTTAGTACTACTTTTCATAAATTGATTTTATTATTTTATAACTTTTGTCATTTTTATTATTTTCATTTATTTTCTGTGTGTGCAGATGTTCATTATAATTATGGAAATAATTGCACGCAAATATAAAAAATTTCAAACTGAGAAACTGTAGTCAAAGTAAAGAACATGTTTATTGTTTAGTTTAGGTTATAGGAAAGAAGAGGACGATATACATTGTTCATTGAATAAGTTATAGAATGTTCCACCATTTTATAATTTAATAAGTATTCAAGTTATAAGACAGGGAAAAAGCAGTTGCATGTTTTAAAAACTTAACAATTGCTTCTTCTGCAAATTGTTAACACACATTGCAATTTTCAAAATTTTGTTCAGCTTTGATCTTGTAGTAAATCTGGTAATGACATGCTATTCCGTTAAAAAAAGTCCATGGGAAGTAGTATGTCTGCACATTTAAGCCACTTCATGCAAGTCGTCTAAGGGTCATTAGACAAGTTTGATGGTTGCAGCTTGCCCGTTACAAACAGCTTCCTGTGATGAATCCACCTTTCAAACATCTCGTATGATCCCCCAATTATATCTTCCAGTACAAACTGAAAATGAATTTTCAAAAAAATCAAGATTCAAATCATCAACATATTAAAAACTGTTGGGCTTTGAAATGAATTTTCAAATGTAAAAATATTTTCAGATAAAACCAAATCATGAATATTGCCACTTAAAAATCTACTAAACCTTTATGAAAAAGTTTAAAAATAAACATTTAAGTAATTGAAATACATGAAATCCTGATACTTAAAAAAATTACACAGTTCAAAGTGAAAGTAAAGTGAATTCAAATCTTTCTCTGGCAAACAAGATTAACCTTCCATTTTTCGATCTTTATAATATCTAAGTGATCCAAGTAATCCACATACTGACCCGTATTGCCCCTTGAACTGGTGGGGAGCAAATTTCAGAAGCTTGTAAAGACATGGTCAACAAACACAGTTTTTCCTGAAGATAGAAAAAATAAACACTCACAAGAAATTATACATTTTAATCAACTAATAATAAAGACATGATATGTAACTGTTTTTTTTTTCATAACTGGCCAATATACCCAAAATATTGCCCAAAGAAATATAACAAGACTGAAAAAATTATGATAGTGGAAAAACAAACAAAAAAGGATGTTGGAATTG